TCACATGTGTTTTGTGATCCAGACTTGTGCAGATCTGAAAGAGCTCTGTGGATTTTGGGAAGCTGTTATGGCTGAAATAGCCACAAGTTCTCCTCAAAAATTGATCCAAGGAGGTCTGCAGTGTACGGCCCACACCAGCCTCCTGACCCACAGAACTTATGCAACACTCTGACTTTCTAATCTAAGTGAAGAGTACAATGGATGCATTATTATGGGCCTTTCCATTTTAATTACATTTCCAACCATGGACATCTGCTAGGTTTTACTAGTTCTGCAGGTGTGTCTTCTATGATTAGTGCAGATCCACTGAGCAGAGTCATTACGCTACTAATCGTTAAACACCTGTAGGCACTTTGAGAGTTCAGCTGTCAACAACATTTCCTTTTTCTTTTAAAGATAGTAAAATACAACAAAGCAAGACAGCACAAAGCCAATGAAGACAATGCAGCATAATTGGTACAGAACTTCAGAGGAGGATACTGGGAAAATAATAATAGCTACCACAGCATATCTTGTTATCTTCCCAATAGTTATCCATTCCATCTGGTATAGCAAAATAAAACAAAAAACAAAACATTATAAAACCTATCAAAATAGAATATTGAATAGAGCAAAACAATCAGAACAAAGCAAAATAGTGAAAACAGTACTGGACTTCAAAGACAATGTAGAAGGAATCCCCCACAATAGCTGTATTGCATACTGTCATCCTCTGTAGAGATGCTCAGAGTGCTGGTCCCAGGCCTGCAAAATCAACCAAACAATACAAGCTTTAGTTACTTTATGTACCTTAGTTGCTATCAACTCAGGCCTTGGAACCATTCAGTTGCTAACTGGGGGGTGTGTGAGGGGGTGTTGTTGATTTTCCACCCATGTTAGTGGCTTGCACTGCTTACTAGCGGAAGGCTAAATCTTTGAATTCTTGGTTGGTTCCCCCATTCTCTGTCAGCAACATTTTGATAATTGCAATTTATTGGTTAGATATTCTCTATCCTTTGTGTCCCTGTGTTATTAAGGTTATTATGACATCACTATAAAATCCTTTGCTATATTTCTATTTTTTGTGACAATTCCATCATGATTAACTCTTTCCCAACTTCTTGAACTTTAGTAATAAATTATTCTATTAACAGATATTTGAAAGGGCTAGTTTTCCTCCTTTTGACAATAACACACTTTCATGAAGTGTTAGATGCTCCCTATACACTTTCTCAATTAATCTTCACAATATACTTATTCATACTTAATATTATTGTGCCCATTTTATAGATAAGAATCCCAAGTACACAAGAGTTGCTTGTTTTTTCATGATCACCCCATCAAATGTCTCACAATTAGCAGTTGGCAGAACTGGCCTATAAACTCATGAAACTGACTTCAAGCTTAAGTAATTCATGTTTAACTATCATGCTGCTATCTATTTTACTTTTTTGTACAGTTTTTATCTAGTATAGTTGTAGCAATTATAATTATAGCTATGATTACTTATTTTCTTATTTATAAAAAGTATGCTTCCTATTAATTAGGATGTATTTTTATTTTGAAGAGAAAAACAATAAAAAACATACAAAATTTCAAAACAACAGAAAAGAACATTAACAATAGTTAATACATTATATATTGTTATCTTCAAAACAGTTGTTCAGATTAAAAGATATAGCTATGAAAAATTGACCAAGATAAGCATAAACCTGTCTTTTTAATGAACTAATAGCATGTGTTTTTAAGCATCATTTAATTTCCATGACATATCTTCCTAACACAAACATGTACAACGTGCTCACTGAATTCAGACATGCTCCTTCTCATAGGGTCTGCCTTTCTCTTTCTCATAGGTCACCTTTCATTCTTCCAAGGTGATCTAGAACTTATTACTTCTAAGTCTATCTGGAAATTAGGAGAACTGTAATAACAAAAGCAACATGGTACTGGCACAAAAGCAAAGAAGTACACCAATAAAATAGAACAGAAGAGAAACAAACCCAAAAACTCAGAGCTAACAGTTTTTTGACAAAAAAAGACAGCCAGCTCACCAACTGACTCTGAGAAAACTAGATAATCATATATAGATTTAATCGAGGTATCTAACCTAGCTCTTCCTTTATGCTAAAATTAAAATAAAAATGAATCAGCGACCTAAATATAAAGACTAGAAACTTTGAAACTTATGGAAGAAAAAAAATAAAGGAAACTCTAGAATTCATAGACATAGGTAAAAAGTTCCTGAATAGGACTCCAATAGCACAGGAAATCGTAGCAAGGATTAACAAAAGGTACTACATCGAATTAAAAACTAACATACAGCAAAGAAAAAAATCAACAGAGTGAAGACACATCCTAAGAAATGAGAAAAAAATCTTTGTTCACTATTCTTCCATAAAAGATTAATATCTAGAATATCTTTTAAAAAATCAAAAAACTTAACCCCCAAAACAATGTAAATAAATTAACAAAGAAATTGACACTTCTCAAAAGAAGAAATACATATAGCCGATAAATACATGAAAAACTGTTCAACATTGTTAGCTATTAGGGAAACATGAATCAAAAGTACACTGAGATTCCATGTCACCCCAGTCAGGATGGCTGTCATCAAGAACACAGAAAACAATAGACACTAAGGAAACTGTGGGAGAAAGGAGCACTTCTACACTGTTGGGGAGAACGTAAACTGATTTCCACTATTATAGAAATATTGTGAAGATTCATGAAAAACTAGAAATACAAATATCCTGTCTGATCCTGCTGTAGCGCTCCTGAGCATATTCCTGAAGGGATGAAGCACACTGCAGTGGTACGTGTCAGCGGTGGTTCAGTTCACACTTGCTATATTGCGGAAAGGGCTCATATGATTCTCAGAGGAATGAATAAAAAAATGTGCGTATACACCAAGGAGTATTATTTGGTCATAAAAAAAATCAGGTCATTGATAGGAAAATGGACGGAACTGGAGACCATCATTTTATAGGAGAAGAAAGGAGACGGGGGGAACAGGGATGAAAATAATCAAAATGTTATAAATCAATGAACAAAAAAGTCTTATTATTCTGTTTTTTGTTTTGTTTTGTTTTAACCTGGGGTGCTTGTAGACGCCCCCTCTTTTTTTTTTTTTTTTTGTACCAGTGATCGAACCGTGACCTTGAGCTTGCCAGCTCCTATGCCGCTGAGCTAAATCCCTGGCAAAATCTCATTATGGTGTATTATTATGTATTGTACACTGATTTTAAAGATCATTCAAGGATATATAGTATTTAATAAAAGAAACTAAGAGGGAACTTTTTGAGAAAGAAGCAATGACCCTGACGAATGTGGATTTCTAGGGAAGTGTCTGGGCCGTGGGGCAAATGGTGCTTTTTCTCCTCAAATAGTTTGAAGTTAGGCCTGAAACTTCTTTGGACTAATTTCATTTTGCTTTGGAAATTAACTGCATAATTAATTAGTCTGGATCAATACAGTCTCTGTAGCTCTTGGAGGAGGAAACAGCAGAATTTTCCTTTTAAGATTAACAGAGGCTGTGGTCATATACAGTTTGCAGTGTAGCAAGGAATAAGCAGTACAGACAAGAGCCCCGCGCCAGGCGTGGCCTCAACTGGGCACTTTCCTGCCCCTTTGAGTCCTGCTTTTGTATCCTTCACACTGAACCTGACAACATCTGCTCTCCATCTGGACTGTTCCAAGAGCTAACAGAGATCCATGGGGAAGCTGCTGTCATGGGGCCGGCACACAGTAGGCTCTCACTAAATGTGGAATCTAGACCTGATATGTATTTGAGGCAGACTGAAGAACATTCTAGAAAGATCTAAACATTTTTCCTGTGACATAATTTGTTAACATGAGAACACTGCTAGATCTCAGCTTCCCACATTTCCAAAGGTGTAACAGAGATGAAATTTCAGTCACTTCACAGTGAAGTAGCAAAGAAAGTAAATGGAAAATAAATGATTTAAAGACTACGGGAAACACAACAAGGCAGTCTTTAAGAATCATTTTCCTTCTAGATTCTGAGTTTTGGGAGTAAATTATTTAGATCTTTTAAAAGTTAAATTAGCCAACTTCTAAAATGTGAGGCTATTCAAGGTTAAAAGGAGTGAGGAGAGATAAAGGGTAACAATCCATTTGATGACAGGACAAAAATATAAATCATAATACAGATAATGGAATAAAACCTATTTTTCCCCTTAGGATAGTGACTATTATTATGGATAGAACCCAGAGAAAATACTTTAACAGTATTGTTTGCTGAATAGAATTCTGGTAATTAAATCAAAAATATTTTCATGGGCCCTCTACCAAGGCATAGAAATAATTTTGTTATTACAGGTTTGATTTTCTAGAGATGATTTTGTGCAAAAACTTTGTAAATGGTCATTTTTGTCTTTTGAGGATAAATGATTAATATTCTGAAGAATAATCTGTAATCTGCAGGGCATGTATGGGTTTCAGATTCAACACCAAGGTGAACTATTTCTTTTTTTTTGTCAGAGAAATAATACTCTCTCTTACATGTTGACTAATGCACAGAAGCAAAAATTTACTTTTTCGTTCCCCTGGGTGCCACAGTGGTGGAATGGACCCCCTTGTACTTGGTCTTCCAGCACGTGCCTTCTTCCTTCTGGAAGCATCCAGGTTCTTTGTGGAAGCCCATCAGCAGAATCTCTACTCCTGGGCTTCTGGGCTTCCAAGTAGGCTATTAGTTGTTGATGGTGGTGGTGATGGTGGTGGTGGCGGTGCCTTAGAATTTACCAGGAGAAAATGAAAGATGATTACAAGCTTCTTGAGAATTGTTGGGCTTATAAAGTGAAGCAAAACAGAAGTGAGGAACACTGACTGTGAAAGAGATCTGGGATTAATTTTTTCAACTGTAAGAAATAGTGCTGATTGGTACTTGATATGGCTACTATAAACTGCTAAAACTTCCCCAACTGTTTTTCTGAATGGCATGGGAGATGTAGGGTTCTGTGTTGTACATTAATTGTATTTTTTTGTTTTTTTACTTTCAGAAAAGAAAAATGTATCTAAAAATCTCTGCTGAATTCATTCATTCATGTGTGTAGAAGCCAGAGTTCCTTGCTTGCTGCTATGGTGATCAGAGCCAGGCCCAGGATGAGACAGGTGAAGTATTTATTCAGGAGCATCATTTAAAGAAACACAAACAGCGACCACTTAGTAAGAAAAGTAACACCTCAACACAGTAGTTTAAGGAATTAAAATTAATGCAAAGAGACGTTAAAAATAAAAAATTAGTGCAAAAAACTATGAGCAAAATATCAAAATTTCTAAGAAAGACAGACGCAGTAACAATTTGCATTAGGCAGTACTGACGCTTGAAGCAAAAGAAAAGTCTTTAAATGAAATGAGATGGAAACAAGAAAAATAGCAATTCTATCCTCATGTATTTTGACTGCTTTTGGGAGACCTCTTCAAATTTTATATCTGAGGCAAGCTCCCCAGTCAAACCTTCCACGAGTCCTTGCTCCGATGTTGGCCCGGATCATACTGGCTGTCAACTTGACTGGATTAATGCCTAGAAGACGAGCACACTCTGAGCATCTGTGTGGGTCACGGGCTAGATCTGGTCTCTGACCTCCCCGACCCTGGCTCTTCCATGCTCTCTGCTCCCAGAAGCCACGAGGTGAGCAGCGTCTCTCTGCTGTGCTCATCTTCTCCTTAGGGCCAGCTGACCTTGGACCGATACCTCTGGCACCAGTGAGCCAAAATCTCTGCCTACTTGCGTGTCTCAGCAATAGAAAGCTGACTAATACAGATGGGGATGTGGAGATCTTGTTCTTTTGCAGATTGTAGTAATACAGGCTAAGTATCCTTTATGCAAAATGCCCAGGAGCAGAAGTATTTTGGATTTCAGTTTTTTTATTGGATTTTGGAATATTTATATATGCATAATAGAATAACTTAAGGATGGGACCCAAATCTAAACATGAAATTCACTTACTTTCTTATACACATAAGGCCCTTATTATTTGAAGGCAATTTTATACTATTTTTTTAAATTGTATGAAATCATAATCATAATATTTGTAATAATTTTGTGCATGAAACAAAGCTTCATGGTATAGAATTTTCCATTTGGCATGTTACGTTGGCACTTAAAAATATTTTGGCACTCAAAACTTAAGATTTATAACATTTCTGAATTCAGATTTTCATGTTAGGGAGGTTCAGCCTGTAATAGAAGCTCTAAATGCTCTGCAAAAATTACTGTATGATGAGGTAAAAAGCGATAAATAGAAGAGTATATTTACAGATAAATGAATGCTAAGAGGAACGCAGAGCACATTTCTGTGTGTCAGAACAGAGAAGGCTTTGGAAGAAGTGTTTAAACACAAGCTTACCATGCTCTGGCTGGAGACTAATAGGGAGAACATTTCAGAAACCTGATCAAGCTCTTATGTGAAGAAGAAAGCTGTAAATCAGAAGAAGGGAAGTGAGCTCACAGGTTATAAGTGGAAAAGATATGCCAGGTCTAAAGGAAGTTGAGTGTTTATATGCCGCAGAGCAGGACCAGAAGTCCTTCTCTGTCTTGGATACTTTTCTCTCTTGCTGGGACAAAATATCCAACACCAAAGTGAACAAGGAAAGCTTTATTTAGCTCACTGTTGTGGATGTTTCAGTCCATAATCACCTGGCCCCAAGGCAGGATGGCATGGCCCCAGGCAGCACTTCAAGGTAGCTGCCAGCAAAAGCACCAGAGCAAAAGGCAGGAAGAGGAGCCAGGGATTTAGCTCAGCGGCACAAGCACTTGCCTGGCAAGTGCAAGGTTGAGGGTTCAGTCCCCAAACTCCACCCTCCCAAAGCAAGCCCTCCCCCCCTCTTTGTACACAGGTCATACACACACGCCCCCACCCCCAACCCGGGTGGCTGTAGCCCTCACAAAATCTCCTTGCCCTTTCCTTGTCCTCCTCTTGCACAGGATGAGAATATTGACAAAGGATGGACCCTGGCTCCCTGCTGAGCTGCTTAGTTTAACTTCTAAACTTTGCAAGTTGACACAGTGCATCAACTATAACATGCCCCTAGCCAAGGAAGAGGTTTTAGTAAGAGGGGATTCATTTTACAACTACCTTAAATAAATAAGAACCTTTTCAGTCCTGTGGTTAGAGACAGAGGCAATGTGTGTAAACAAAAATTGTGGAATTGTGGGAAGAGCTTTGAACCTATGAGATTATCTTTATTCACCAAATGCAGTCTTGATGTAAGTACTGGCCTCTGAATCATCAGCAGGGTTCTATAGCGGTGAAGATCCAGGCCATCAGCAAAAATCCTAACTTGGAAAACAAACTGTTTAAGCCACAGTTACACAAAAGCAGGAGAAAGCACAAATTAAGAATCTCCTAAAAATTAATGTCTGAGACACAATCAGGAGTGAATTAGGTTTGACTCTGAAACTTGTAATTCACTCAGCACTCATCTCCTTTGTTTCCTACTGAATGCTTTTTACTTTCTGGGTTCAGAAACAGAGATTTGAGATTTTGTTTTGACCCAATTCTCTGTTTTGAACAAACTGAGTCATTTGTAAATCTGTACCAACCCATCCTGGAGGAGCAAGGTGCTGGCGGAAAGATGGTGCTCGGTATGCAAAGTGAAAAAAGAGCTGAAAATAATTAGTAGACACAGACCTGAGATGGACTATGTGTAGGCCAGCAGTGCTGTAGTTACCGTAACAATTATTTGTTTAGTTAAAAAGTGAACCCCACAAATCCTAGGGACTGGAGTTTTTAAAAAAAATCAGCCACAGTCATATAATATTTAATGGGGTGGGGAATAAGCAACCCAAAGATAAAATCCATGGCATTTCATGCCCACCAAAAATACACATGTTCATATTCAGAAAGAGCCATCACTTTTGACTGGATGACTTGAACACCCATATTATTAAAGTTTATCCTTTACTCAATGCCTCTACTTCCTCAGAATTCCAAATACCAGTTTAGGAAAAACAGTCTCTTTTAAGAATCAGAGGGTTTTGGCTTAAAGTATTTTAATTCACTTGCTTCCCACAGAGTAATCAAAACCATTTTTCATAGACTTGGAGGATGTAGGCATTGCAAGGGACCATGGATGTCACTCAGTCCAGTGGCGTCCTCCCCCGAGTGAGGGAGCTGCCATGGCCAAAATGGAGAAAAGCACTAGAAATCTCAGCTGTGGCTTTTGCCTAATCCTAAATATTTAAAGAATAATTTCCAAAGGGAGAGAAATCAGAGAGAAGCAGAACAGAAACTTTAGAGTTGCTTCAGATCATAAAGATATAAATGATGGTTTTAGGGCACAGCCCCCAGGGCCAGGGATTTAGCTCAGCAGCTCAAGTGTTTGCTTGGTAAGCATGAGGTCATGAGTTTGATCCCTAACACCAAAAAAAGGATGCAGCCCCTAAATTCAGGTTCCTGACTTTTCACGCTTTGCCCACAGAGAAGTTGTCAGATCCTAATGGGAACATGTCCTATTCAAGTGTATGTGTGTCCATGTTGGCAGATTTTCCCTAATTTGGTTCAGAGTTCCTCAACCCTTTTCATAATAAGATCTACCTATGATGTCTGTTGAAATAACCTGGGTAACGGCCAGAGACCACTGTCTTTGGAGGCTTGGGTGATTCCAAACCTGGCCTAGCTACCCTAAGGGCTGTGAAAAGCCTTTCTCTCCCAACACCTATAGCCCAACTTCATAAGAAACATGAGCTGGGAAGCTCTCAGCTGTGTAGCTGGGTTCCCTGCTTTTCTATAGGAAAGTCAGTTACGGAAGGACCTGGGCACGATGGAGTTCTAACCGTGTTCTCAGTGCCTATTTTGTTCTGTTTTCTGTGTTCTGTTTTCTAGCACTTCATTGGCAGCAACATCTACACACTTGGGACAGGACTGTGTGTAACAAAATCAGCAGAGCCCTGTGACAGTAATGCAAAAAGCATATTATTTTCATTCTACAAAATATTCGTAGCAGCTCTTTGACCTCTTTCCCCCTTAAAGATTGGGGTGAAAATGAAATTGAACATATAAGATTGTGAAATATGTATCCTATCAGTGATGTCAGAGAAAGATCAACCATGTGTTAATTGAAATGGGTTGGCTTTGTGGAACAGATACATGGGCTGGCTCTTGAAATGTAAGTTTTCAACAAGCGGAGAAAAGCAAAATGCTATACAGGTGGAAGCAATAGATTGAATAATCAAGGTGCAAAAATTCAAGACTTACAAAGGTTTGGTTTGCAATGGTGGTTTGCAAGAGAATGGAGGCCCAGAAAGAGGACAAACTGGAGAGGCAGACAGGTCAAGATATGAAAGTGTTAGTTTTATACCACAGAGGCTATCCTCGCCTCAGCATTCATTCCTAAAACGAGATGCTATATACTTACTGGGCCCTCCGCACTGCAGTAAGCACTGGGAATACCAATATAAAATTATCATCTTGGAGATGAGGAAGAAATTTACAGAACTAAGACGTTATAGGTTACACTGCTGAAGTCTGTATCAGAAACAATAGGTAAAAGGAGGATAAATGAGAACAGCTCTGTAGGGTTTAGGATATCTTCAGAAAAAAAAAGTTGGAGAAATTAGCATTGCTGGGCCAGGAGCATGACTGCAGATACATCCTGGAAGGATGGATCCCCTTCACTGCAGCGTGTGTGGAAAGGGGAGTAATACACTGTGTGGACACTGCAAGCGTCCCAGATGGCCGGTCACTGTATGGAGCACAAACTGCAGAGGTGGAAAGGAAGACATTGGTGAAGCTGGCTGATCATTGAACCAGGTAATAAATGCACTGCACGGCAATGACCCATAACAAAGTCTAGTACATATAATTATCCCGTGTAAACAGAAGTAGACTTTTTGTCTACCAGCTATACAGGAGGACAGTTAACATTAGTGTATCTCAGGTGCTTTTACTAACAAAACTTGTTCCAGTCCTTTAGTGATGAACTTTCATATTATATACTCAGTCTGAAATAAATTACTCCTCTTTCTAAATAAACACTTTTAAATCCATGTTCTGGCACTTTATCTAAGATCCTTTATCAGTGTTCCCACTCTTTGTTTTTAGAGTAACTGAATTTTTTCAAAGAATACTCATAGGAGATAGGGTAGTAATCACCAACTACTTGAAGATTTAATTAGGTACACCTTGTGTAGATGGTAGCACAGACCTGTCTACATTTGACCCCCGGGGGCTGGCAATATATAAATCCAATAAATCTTTCAGTGAGCCTCTGTGTACCCTGCTGTTAAAGTACAGATCAGAGATTAATGGAGAAAGATCCTTCCTGATAATTCCTATGGAAAGCAGTGCCTAACATAGAGCTCAAAGAAGCTTGGGGAAGCTACTGATTAGGTAGGCTCAGGGAAAGCGTTTTTCAACCTGGAAAATGAAGGCATTGCTTATGGGGTGGAGAGAGCATGTAGGCTATATTTGGATCAGGAAATGAACTCTGTGTCTGAAATGGGACAATTTGAATATAGTCATCACTCAGTGTGTGCTTATGGGACTGAATTTTAAGGGAGCAGATTTCAGATAAACATGGGAAAAAATCTTTTTAATAACTGGAAATGTCCAGCCATGATAACTGGTGAAGCCAAAGCATTCTTTAAGCATCTTTTCCTCTTTCTCTTTGTCCTCCTTTTTCTTTTCTTTCTTTCTTTTTTTTTTTTTTTTTTTGGTCTTTTTCCTTTTCATCGGTACCGGGGATCGAACTCACGACTGCCTGCTTGCAAGGCAAGCGCTTACGCCGCTGAGCTAAATCCCCAGCCCCTGTCCTCCTTTTTCATTATCAATGTCATATTTAAGATCATTTCACCAAGCAAGATCATAATAAAACTACACAAGATACAAACTCCTAGAAGTTGAAGAAATATATAGATGCTTTCCTACTTACAGTGGTACTATTCCCAATCAGTTGAGGGTTCTTTTGCCCCACTCAGATTAAAATCATGACCTGCCAAAGTATAGCCCTGCCAGCAGCCCTGATACTTCTGGTCAGCATCACTTGTTGCTGGCTGCCAGCAATGGACACTGCTGGCCACTGGTTCCTGCTGATGTAGGCCACTGCCAGCTGAGATGTAGGGCACAGGGAGTGGCAGATAAGGTTGGAATGTTTGTTAGGCTCAGATGGCAAAGTTTATTAGGGGCAAGGTGGAGGAACTTGCATTTGTTCTACAAAGTTATTTAGGGTTTGGTTCCATAACTTTATGGATTTAAACTATGTTTGGGGGAGATGCGCTTGGCAATAACAAAATGCAAAGATTATAAAGGGAAGAGGAAAGAAGGAAACAAGTTGACAGATAATCATGTACAAGTAGGAGAAGGCCGACTTGAGATAAGGACAGAGCAAAGGAAAGCTGAAAAAGAGGTGTGAAGGGATCCTTGAAATGTCCCCGAGAGGAAATCGGGTGAGTTTGTTCTACTGATGGAGCACAGAAAGGACCACCACAAAATAAAGAATAAGAACAAGAGGAAAATGCAAACATGCCCTTTTGTCTGTGCATGGAAATGTACACATTCTACACCTGCTTTTTCTAGGCTTTCGGGCAGGCACTGATGGCTTAGCTATATCCCCAGCCCTAGCGAGGCTTTCAACATGACTTGGTGGCAGCTCTTTGGCTTCTTGCAGAGAGTTTATTATAAATAATAGTGTAAGTGCTGATGTTATAAAATACTGTTTTGTGCAAATAGCTATAGATTCACGTTATGACTCCAGTAACCATGCAGGATACACATGCATTCTGACGAGCCTTCCTAAGTAGCAGAGAAGGCAGTAAAGACAGCAAATTTATCGTAGACCTGAGAACACTCATGAGTAGGTACCATGCACTAGAAGAAAGCATCTTCTTTATTTCACATGGGAAAAGCAAAAAAGAAGCACTGGTTTAAGAGATTAATGTCTGTGAATTTTTTGAATAGTATCAAAGCAGGTTGAGTGAATCAACTGAGAAATAGTTTCAGGTCATGGCAGACTCTCATCAGCTACTTGGGCCTAAGGGCCCTTTGTCTTCACTTTGTCTGTCAATTATTTGGAAGTAGACAAACTTCAGCCTATAACCGTGTGTGTGTGTGTGTGTGTGTGTGTGTGTGTAAATGAATGATTGGAGTCTCATAACGACTCATCTTGGCTTTGAATTTGATTTAAGTTTCAACTAACAGGAAAATGGACTTTGGAGTCAAACAGTCCTACAGTTGAAGGTTGGTGCCTCATTTAGCAGCCTTGGGAACAAGAGCAAGTTAATTAACCTCTCTGCACCTCAATTTCCTGATATCCAAAATGAGAACATGCACACCATCTCAGAAGTTGGTGATGAAGACCAAAAGTCATGGTGGAGGCCAAACCACCCGCGTGATGCTGACCACAAAGGCACTCAGTGAAGAAGGATGCCTTTGTACTTGAGTCCACCTCTGGAAGTGAGATCAATTACAGACCTGTATAGTAGCAGAAAAGCTGATTTCCAATAAACCAGGAAAGCCAAACTGCTCCATTGAAGAGAAGGAACTTTTGTTTTGGATATAGCTTTAAGGAGAAAAATGATTTCTTTTCAAATTAACTTGAATATATCTAATATTCAGATGCTGGCTATAACCATCCTTGAAATTGTTTCAGAAAATTCCAGCAGTAACCAAGTAGAAATTGAGGAATGACTGTCACACCACTTATCTGTGAACTTTCTGTTCTGAAACTGACTGTAACTGTTTTGTTTTATTTCACAGTTTCCCATTTAGAATGTGGCTGAGCTAATGCACTTCACATAACTGTATCCTGTGTGGTTTTTAATTTCTATTTAAGTACTAATATATTACACATTTCCTTGCATTAGATGTAACCAGTATAGTTTCATTATATAAAGATACAAAACAAATGATCCACAAAGGCAGCTGCTTCTAAATAGTTGGGTGACCCTAGACAATTTCATTATTTTCCTGGGCCTTCAGCTGAGAAAATAGGTTTAATGATGCTCACATTGTTATGGAAATTAATAGTGAGAAGGATTGTACACAAATAAATTAAAATTAATTGTTGGTGGAATGATGTACACAAATTTTCTGGCAAAAATTCTTTTCCCAGTGTCTTGTAGTGAGATGACATAATAGTTTAGATTCTGAATATAGCATTATACTTAAAGTGCTTTCTTTGCATTAACTCAGTCTTCTTAAGAACTCATTGAATGAAGAATTGTGATTGTGATTATTGTGATTATTCCTATTTTAAAGAAGATGAGACTGAGGCACAGAGCAATTAAGGAATTTGCTAAGGTCATTTACAACAAAGTAGGGTTAAATTCATGAAACAGGTCCCAGAGACTGAAAACATACACTTCTCATAGCCTTTGTCAAATTTGTGTTTATGGGTTCACGACATAAACACGTTTGGATGATTCCATATGTCTATGATCCATGAATCTTTGTACAAAGTGCAGGACAGAAATTTAAACATTCTTTTCATTTGAGTTTCTTTACTCGTACCAAGTCATAAAAATGCCTTCCCAACTATCTTCCCCTACTTTGGTAAATCTCTTAATTTAACTAAGAATGTGAGAAAAACAAAATCAGTTTTCTAAATCTCAAATGAATTGTTCCACACTCCCGTTGGAGAGGGTCTTGCATCCCTTCCTAACCCTGGATTCCAGACGACAATGAAGGCATGATATTGACATTGTGTGATGCTGATGTTGCAAATTCCAGTTCCTCCCACTGAAATATTGAATCTGTGTATAAATAGGTGTCTCCCTTATCATCTTGACTTTCTCAAACATGAATATCCAGGTGTTGAAAACCAGTTCCTCCCCTTGGTTTTCATATACATGTGCCTGCACGCACACACCACACACATATTCCCATTCACAGAGACACACTGCATGTACTTTACTGTAATTTACATGTAACTCACGTGCTTTACTGAAGACTTGGATAAACAAAGGGAATTGTAGCAAATAAATGTCAAAAAATTAACACAATGTAAAATGAATGTCACATAATTTTTTTCTATTAAGCAGGGCTGAGCCAGACAGTTCACTCCTCCTCCCATCCACCTACTCGTATCCTCACTAGTGAAAAACATTACACTTTTTGCACAGCAATTAAGTTCCACCTTCACTCTTTAATATCCCTGTAACTTCCCTGAGAACTTCCTGTTTTACTCATCACCACAGGAAAAATTCTAAAGCCCGGTGGGCGGGTGGTCTGCTTTCACCCCACTACATTGTATCAATACTGTCTACAACCTTAGTGAGCAATGCATGTCTGTAAACAGCTAACCTTTACTCTTAAGGAACAAATTCTTACATCCTACCTTAATTCTCCCTCTTACTTCTGGGGGCAACTGATTCGAGTCCTTCATGTAGAAATCCAGAGGACAAGATTCACGAACCTGATCTGATAATTCATTCTAGAGACTTTCATTCTAGAGATTCCCTGTTTCTTGGTGAGAAAGCTGTGACCAAGGAGGGGTCTCAGCACCACAGAGGTGGAAAGGAAAAGGGTGCCAGTGTGTGCGTGGTTGGGGAAGTGGGCAGAGCTTTGGTGGCACCTCTGGGTAATAAATCAGAGAAAGTAGCATGCAGGGAATGACCTGTAGCTTGGCTGGGCAGATATTTGTGCACTTCAAGAATAATCTAGAAGTTGAGTATGGTGGTACATGCTTATAATGCCAACAGTCAAGGAGGCTCAGGCAAAAAGATGGCAAATTTGAGTCCAGACTGAGCAACTTAGTGAGTCTTTATCTCAAAATAAAAGTTAAAAAATACCCAAGGATGTAGCTCAGTGCAAAGGCCCTGAGTTAAATTTTCAGTACAAAAAAAAAAAAAAAAAAGTGAAAGAGATTTATTGAAATTACATACAGGTCTCTTGGATGTTCAGCCATGTTTTAATCCTTTGCATCCTGCATTTTTCTCTCCTCATGACCAGCATTCCTAATCAATACTTGTTTAATGTCAAGAATGGGGAGCTGTTTGGGGAGCAGACAGAGAAAAGTTGAAGGTGTTGCCCAGTGGTAGAGCATGTGTGGGGTCTTGGGTTCAATTTTCAGCATCAACTAAAAACATAGACCACTAAATAAAAGCTTCAACCTTGCCCTAGACGCTTTTGGGCTCTTTCCTGGAGATGCCTGGCTTCTCCTGGGCCTGTCACACTTGGAAACTTTAAAGCAAGGGCAAAACTCATTCAGCTCATGTTCAGTTCTAACTATCCTCCAGCTCAGGGAAAGCAAATGTAAGAGGAGTGAACGAACTTTCTAGTTATGCCAAATACATGGACTTTGGCGCACACTAAGTATGAATTTATGAAAGTTTAAAGTGCCTTAGGAAGGGGTGAACTCACAAAAAAGAAAGCTGTTAACTGAGTACTCCCTGGCTGTGGCATGTGCATAGCCTGGACCTGCAGGAGGGTGCCTGGCCACTGTCAAACCTTCCAGCAGCACTTGAGAGGAGACGCCATCAACAGTCTCTCCTCATGGAAACCATTCTGCCATCAAAGAAAAATTATATTTTCCCCTCATTTAATTATGTGGTCTTTTGCTAAATTAAATGCACTAAAAGGCTGGGAGCCAACATCTACAGAGAAGAAATCTCAGACTCTTTTCTTTTCTGCCAGTTTGCGCTTCCTTGAAAACAGACACTGGCGATGGAAAATGTGGTAAAAGTTTAATGTTCATGCTAAAAGGAAAAACACCTTTCCTTTACATTGGCCAGATGCACCTGGCAAGGCCCAGGCCAACTGAGTGAAGAGTCACTTGTGCACAAGCCAGCAGGGCTGTCAGTGAGGCTTAGCAAGCAGTGACTTGGAAACAGAAAAAAAACCTCAGCTTAAGAGAAATTGTTTCTAGTTTTAGAAGAGATAGGTTTAATTTTTTAAAAGTGAAATGAAATAGGTAATTCACTTTCCAAAGAAGGTTCTCAAGGAAAGATCCCAACACATGCAATTTTATTTTATGTTATGGCAATATCTAACACACAATGGGGAAAAAATGGAAGTAGTGAAATCCATTCCCCATAAAGTAAGAAAGATTTGGTGTGAAGTTTCCAAGGAGAACTTGGTTCTTCGTGAAGCTCAGTGGAGAAAGAGCCAAGAAACTGAGGCACACAATAATTCCTATAAATCTTTTCTCTAATTTAGCCAGAGAGGAATTAACGTGTTGTTCTTCCCTTTATCCAGCAACCAGTGTCCTAGGTAGGCAAGGAAATCTGCTTGTAGGGAGAGGAGGAAATTCTTCTCAGCTTTTCAACCGACTTTATTTTTTAAAAATTGCCTCATTTTGGGGGAGACAATTTTTGCATTTGAAAAGTAGGATCGCAGATGTTTCCTAACAGATTCCTGGTTGAAACATTCCCTGAGACTGCATTCAGAAAGGTTAAGAACCTAGAGGAATTTCTACCTGCTCACAGACCAGTGGAGTGGTATCAGCACAGGCACCTCCCTGCCCTGACACCCAGGCCAACTGGAAATGTTTCAGAGTTTGCACAAAACATTATAAAGAAGTCTGCAAAAGGGCCCCCTAACATTAAATTCTCTCATTAACTCTTAGGCCCCTTCAAACTGTGAACAAGACGATCCTTGTTCTGGAAAATCTATCAGCCCTTGCCAACACACACACATATATACAAAAACACAACTGTTGAGCAAATAAATCTTTCCAGAGAAAATAGATTCCTTTCCAATTCAGTCAACTGTACTGAGCTGGAAAGCAAGAAATGTTATTTTTCCAGGAAGAAGGGAAAACAACCTCTCTCCTTGTTTACCCTGTCTAGCCGGTTTCAAAAGAAGGTCAGCTTAATGCCTTCATTAAAAGAAAAAACCCTCAAGCGTTGTTTATCAGAGGACACTTGGTTCCTTTCAGGCTGAGCATCACACATTGGTGCTCTGTGCTTTTCCCTTTGAGCTCAGATGCACAGCTCAGTTCCCCACTGCTCCGGAGATGTCCAAAGTGTCAGGAGTGGGGAGGACAGAGGGTGGGGACAGAGCCTGGTGATGTGATGTTCTTTGCTATTGTTTGGTCTCCCTATTGCTAGTCTGTGTCCCCAAAAGATCCAAGCATGGAAGGTCCAGCTTAGGAGTTGGTCCCCTCTTCATCCAGGGACATTCACATTCCCCACACTTAACTGTTACAGTTTCCTGTGATTTGTGGACCTGGGTTATTCCCTTGATGAATGCAAACACATGGCATGAGACGTGCTTGGAGAGGAAGCTGGATAGACTCTAAATCTGTACACGATGTTTGTCTGTTCCCCAGAGCCTCTTTAGGGTATACTGGAGTAAGTTGCAAGGAAGTCAGACTACAGTTATAATGGTAGGAGGTGAGGACTCTAGCATCCCTGTTCTAGCTGCATGTTATAATGGACAGCATAGAGCTGTTGCCCTGTAAAAATCTAGTGAAAATAAATCAAATGCGTTTTTAAAATGGTAAATCTGGAAGATCAAAGTTTTAAAAAATCTTATTATAAAAATAGTTTCTGCATAATTAGATTTTTAAAAACCTAGAGATTTATAGACTTGAAGATTTATAGACATGAAGATTTATAGAACTAAGAGAAGTCATCTGGTCATCCTCTCACCCGAAAAAAGAGACCCTGTCATGTGAGCTGAACATTGCAGTAGCTATTGAAGAAAAACGTAATAATTTTATGTATTTTAATTTGTTCCAACCTTGTCTTGGCCAATATGTGGCTGCTATAGCTTATACAATTATATTTCTTTCTTTTTGGACCCTTTCCAAGCCAAATCCAAAGAAAAGAGACTGGGCCATTAGTGGCATGTGAGCAGGAGTGGAATGGAAAAACCTGACACCCTCTATCCCATGGCTTGGGAGGGCTTACTTTGTTTTAGAATTAATACTCTAAATCCCAAAGGGAAGAAATAGAAAACCTGTTCCTTGCCCCACACTGGTCCCCCACCCACCCACGAAGTAAAAACTGTTTGACGGGCTCCTAGATCTAGGTACATTCAGCCCATATCAAGAATTTCCTGAATTACTTACCAGAGGGTAAATAACAAAGTCTTCGGCCAGAAACACAGCCTAATGACTGTTTCAAGGAAACCTCCATTTGTAGTGAGTGAAGTGACCCAGCATGGTGGCCCACTCCTATAATCCCAGCACTTGGGAGGCTGAGGCAAAAAGACCACTGTGAATTCGGGCCATTCTGCACTACACGGTGAGACTACCTCAAAACAAAGATTTTTTTTTTCACATCAAGAATAGAGGAATAAACCCACTTTTATGGTGATCTAATGCATTGTTTAAAAAGTAACTAACCAGTTATTTTACGATAAGCACTCTAACCAAATCTAACTTTCTTTAGATGCTGTAGATGGACAAGCTGAGTTTTTTTTAACCTACACTGAACATATTTACTAATACTAAGAATAAAAGAGAGTCTTCACCAATTATAAGAAATATAAATGAGCTTGTTCCAAAAATTTTGGCAACTTAGATTTAATGGACAAATCATTTTAAAAATAAAATGATGCAAGTTTACTGAAGAATACATAAACTCAGTCTGTGCAGTAGTACAGAAGTTGAAGATATTTTCAAAAACACAGTTTACAAAAGAGTTTCTGTGTTGAAAAGAGAAACTTAAAAGGTATAACACCAATTCTACAGAAATTTTCAAAGATGTTTGAAGAGGATACTCCTAAGTGATTATGCTACTAGCATTAATTGAATTCCAAATCAGATAAAGTTAATACTAGAAAACTTCAGTGCAATATTCCTCAGTCACATAAACTCAGTGGGATATTTAACATATTAGCAAATAAAATCAATATGTAGAAAGGGTCAGCATAGCATGACCAAGTGCATTTTAGCATTAATTCAGCATTTAAAAATTTTTTTAAAAAGATTAAGATAAAAGAGGACATAACAACACAGTTAAGAACAGAACAATTTAAAACCAATGGAGACAGAAGAACAAAAGCTTGGTGGGACTTCAAAACAAGATGATATTAAATCATCACTAGCTATCATAATGTCTTATTTTCTTCAAAATAGTTGTTCATACCATCGCAGACAATAAAATCAAACAATCCAGAATAAAACCATTCCAACTATTGAATGAAAACATTATAAGGCTTCAAAGCCATATAATGGGGAATCATGATTACCACATACTTTTATGTATTCATATGATTTCTTACACTGGGGGAACTATTCTGTATTTATACATGTGAGTTTGATTTATTTCACTTATGAGTATCGTCTCAAGCTGCATCCATGTACTTATAAATATCTCAATGCAATCATTCTTTATAGCTGAGTAGTACTCCATTGTATAAAAATACCACATCTTTTTTATCCATTCCTCAGTTGATGGGCATTTGGGTTCTTTACAAGATCTGGCTATTACAAATTGTGCTGCTATAAACATGGGTGCACATATATCACTGTGGTATGATGTTTTCAGTTCTTATGGGATTATGCCTAGAAGTGGAATAGCTGGTTCAAATGGGACTTCCAATCCCAGCTTTTTGAGGAATCTTCAGACTGACCTCCACAGTGGTTGCACCAGTCTATACTCCCACCAACAGTGCAGGAGAGTTCCTTTTTCCCCACAGCCTCTCCACAGAATCTGTTGTTGGTAGTTTTCTTGATTCTGGCCATTCTTTCTGGAGTAAAATGAAATCTCAGTGCTGTTTTAAACTGCATTTCTCCAATGACCAATGATGCTGAATATTTTTCCATGTATTTATTTGCCATTTGTACTTCTTCATCTGAGAACTGTGTATTCATCTCAGATGCCCATTTTTGAAATGGATCTTTGAATTTTGGGAGTCTAATTTTTTTTAGTTCTTTATATGTTTTAGACAGAAGTCCTTTGTCTGAGATAGTGTTCACTAAGATTT